ACACAAAATACACCATCTTTACGAAGAGTCAGACTCACAGTAGAGAGTCATTTATTAACTCTGTGGAAGAGCTAATATTAATGAAGTAAAACTCAGACTAAAAGTTATCTTTAGAGCAATGGAATGGTCTCTGCTTAGCATAATGGAGTCAGACCTTTACAGAAATCTATGGCTATTAATAGAAAAAAGGAACAAAATATTTTGTAATATATATAAATTTCCCAGATAACTCATACATGTGTAGATTTAATGTGTCTTCATTATACTGTTTTAATTTTTTATTTCTTTTTGACTCATGTGGGGTTTTTTTTTGTTTTTTTGTTTCTCCCCCCCCAACATAGGAGCCCTTTATATCAACCCTCTATTTGGAAAAGGATTACATAGAAGTGGTTTTGCATGCCTTGGTTACATAACTTTTTCACAAACATTCTTTTAAGGCCATTAATTTAATATTATTTCTTCTGCATTGATTGTAAAATAGGCATAATTATGAAACATTAGGATTAATGTAGCTACAACTTTGTGTAAATTTCTGGGTTTTTTAATCCTTCATGTTGGTTAGTTTATAAAAACTTTTAATGGAACATTGTACTTCCATGCACAACTTGGTTTTGAAAACTTTAATTAGGTGCACCATTTTCTTACCTTCTTGATGATGGTTACATATGTGTTTACCTATTTAAAACCTTTTACAATACATTGCATGTTACAACTGAGAAGTTTGCTGTTTTCTCATCTTTCAGCAGCAGAAGAAAAAGATATGAAGATGAAAATGGACTTTGTGTTATATAAGTAGTGAGAAATACCTTGTCTAATGTAAGCAAATTACAAACTGATAGTTATAGCAAACACATTTAATAAAATTAATTCTGTTTCTAGGTTCCATGGTTCCTTTCTCCATGCGGATTTTACATGCTGAACTTCCTCAGTACCTAGGTAATCCTCAGGAGTCACTTGACAGACTGCATAGTATGAAGATAATCTGCTCCAAGGTAACAGTTTCTCTATACATTAATGTTTCTTAATATTTAAGAAATATATTTTACTGTCCTTATAAAGAACATTACGTTTCAAAGATGACATTTTTTTACTCCATCTTGATACATATAAGGAACTCGCTAAAAGAAGTAACTAAGTGCCTCTTCCATTTGAGGATACATCCTTCTCTCCTCTGTGCTACCTCAGACTAAAATGAGTAGAACAGTGGGCAGCATAGTTCTCTTGCTTTCATGCTTTTGCCAGCCAAGACACAGAGGATAGTAAGTGAGTAGGAGAGCTTTCTTCCCTTACTCAACTGCATCCAGCTAGCTCAAAACACAGTTGTTAATAGTCTTGATCCTTCAGAAGTAGTCTGAATAGCTAGTTTTGGAAACAACGGTCATGTGGGAATGTAAATGCAACCTGATGAGTTTGTTTTGTGGTTTTTATTTTGTTTTGTCAAGTGCTGCAATCCAGTATGGCCTAAATTATAATATGGGATTTGTCAGTGCTGAAATTGGAGTGATGGTGTTGTAAGCACTAACCTTATCCACTAAATCTAACACCTTGACTCTTAAGCATTCATCCTTAAATGCTTTTTACAGAAATCTTTCCCAAGTGGTCTAATGTAATGGTGACTGTAAACGTAACAGTGTGGCAAACTGTAGAAGAAATGTAGCATTATTGTTTTATCCGTGACACCTGAAACTTCAAAACTGTATATAAGATAAAGGCACATGATTAATTTTTATTTTCAGTATTCCTTTAAAGTTTCCTGTATTTACTCCTGAAAATAACTTGGATAATAGAAGTAAAAGGATTTGATAATTGCTGATTGTATAGCTATAATGACCTTACGTATATAAAATCGAACCTACTTCTAGCAGAGTAGTAACTAGGATAACCAAATGTTTGCAGTAAAAAACCCAGTTCTTTGTATTATGAGGGAAAAAGATGAAAGGTTTAGGTAATAAGAGATTAATGTGGCTTTTGTTACAGAGTTGGAAGGAATTGATTTGGAAACAGTTGAGAGATAATACCTAATTTGGCTAAGAAGTGCTACTTCACGAATGCTGTTACCTGTTCATGACCATCTCATCTAACAATATTACTGGCAGACTGGTCTCTCCAGCTTTTTCCTTCATAAGCAGTCTTTCTCAATTTGAAGTAATTTTTTTCCTTTAGGAAATGTCATACTCCTGTTGCAGGATTTCACAGTGCTTCTACTGACATTTGCCTACCCCGATCTGCTGCAGATCAGCTGCTTCATATCCTGGTTTTATGCAATCTGGTATAAAGTGCTGCGTTGTTTCTCCTCAGTCATGAAGGTGCCACTAGATTCAAAAAACTTAACCGGTTTTTAAGTTCCTTTATCTTCTAACGAAGAGGGAAAATTGTATGAACGAGGAAGTGACTGCTAAGCAGGGCATTCATCAGCCATCTGGCTAACTTTATTGAAATGGCCATATCTCAGTTACAGTGTGATCAGCAATGATTCTCCACAGGTTAAAGATTATCCATCAATAGAGGAATGAAAGAAAAGGAAATTAACTCCCACCCCCCTGCCCCTTTACAAGACTTTTAAATCAGTTACAACCTTGAGGTGGCTGTGCTGGCCTTCTTTTTCTTCAAGAGAAAAAGCAAAACCAGTGTACCAAGGAAACGTTTAAACTATAACACATGCTTTTTCTATGAACACGAGCTAGGCTGATTATTTGTTCAAATAAGGGAAACTTCTGCTGGAGAAGATGAAAGAGAAATAAAGGAGGTGGGCAAAATAAAATTTACCTATTTCCCTGCCCGTTAAGTTCTTGAAGAACATGTCTGTTTACTCTTGTTCTCGCTCCATCAGCCTTGAGCGGCTTAGGTCACTACAAATCCTGTGTGATCCCTTGTACCCTTGGGGAAAGCTTCTTTGAGGCTGGCTGTGCACCTTCTCCAAGCTCTTCTGAGAAGTCCCCCATTCTCTGCATTTGCTGTTGATTCTCAGATTGCCATCTCTTTCACTCTGCCTTTCTGTGTCTGAACTGGCAAAGTTTCTCCTGGGTTAGTGTGTTCAGTTATGGTCAGAAAGAGAACGATCTCCTTTTGCTTTGGACAGCTTCCACCAGAGGCAGGGTACAGTAGCCAGGACAAGCCATTGTCTGTGCTGATGGATGTTCCTTTTTAAAGTACAGAACACAGAAAGCTACGAACGAACAAATAAAACATACCATCCTTCTCAAGGGAATATTTCTGATTATTTATTCTAGACACCTCATTCCAGATAACTTCATTTGTTTTCATTCAATTTAAATACCTTGTCTTTTGGAGCAATTGAAAGACAACTCTAGAAACAAGAGTGTGAAAAAGGACAACTTGTAAAGATAAATATGTTTCTAAAAGACAGTTGTAAATTGGTGTGGACTTAACCATTTGAAGTCAGGATTGGCTGACAAAAACTACTGTTTAGATACATTTTATTTTTTTTTTTATAGAATGCTATTAGTTTTATAATCTCGATCTCACCTGGAATGTTCAAGAATAAAGTGCAGAATACTTATGAAAACCTATGGCATAACCAAGAAAATAAGAGAAAGGATTTACACTGATTATTCTTAATATTTGTATATGACACTTGGGAACTATTTGGGTTATAACAGAATTAATTGGGGAGCTTTCAACCAAAAGCCTCTAGTGTTTTACTTCCCTTTTTTAAAAAGTGGAAAAATAATCTTTGGTCATCCGTATTTACAGAAGGGCAGATGAATAGTCATTATGTAAATGGGATGATCTTGGAGTCATAAAAGCCAGAAGAGAGAAAAGACCTATTAGCTCACCTAGTCTGTCTCTGCAACACAAGGCTGTTTTCTAGTTTTTAATGAGCCAGCCTATGGAGCTGAGGCCACATCCCCTGGGAGGCTATTCCAGACTAATACTAATGCATTCTTATAATAAGAAAATTTGTCTTTCTATTTTGTTTCTCTTCCTTAATATAATTGTGGGTTTTTTCTATCCAATACCTCCTTTTAACCTGCTAAATTCCCTCTCACTTTTTGTTATATGCATTCTACAGACACTTGTCAACTTTGGATTAACTGTTCTACTTAAAGATCTAACTGTATTTCCTTTGTTCACTATTTTGGTAACTCGATCTCTTCAGCCTCCATCTGCTTACATAATTCTGGTACCCAAAGAAGGATTGGAGGTTGAGTGCAAAAATATAATTTTCATTTTTCCTGTATAGGGAATAATGTTTTTACCTTTTTCAGTATTCCTGCGAATTTGTAACCAAGATCTGATTGGGTATTTTACCCTTCTTGTCTATAGGTACAACGTTTGGGAAAAAAATAATCTGTAGTGCCAAGTGCCTGTTATAGCTTGGAGGAAGAATCCAGTGAAATTGTTACTGTCTCTGTGTTATTGCTGGTCTTCTCAACACGACTTGCCTCAATGAATTCTTGCCCTTGTAAGCCTGCCTTGAAATGAATGGTCTCCAAACAGCCAAGCTGTAAGAGCAACAATAGTAATTTAAATCACAAAGGGGTTTCTTCTTTTAAAGCATTCATTTGAAAACAGAGGCGTGATCACTTTAGTGCTAATAATGCTGAGGACATGCTAATAACTGCTTACCTGGAGACCAAAATGTGAAAAGAACAACAATCAGGCTTAAACGAAACTCCTCCCTTGTTTGTACCTAAGCTTTCTAGCTGATTGAGGGAGATCTCCTGGAAATGCACACATCTCATAGTGCAGTGTATTTCACTTTTTAACCCTAATCCTTCAAGTGGCAGAGCTGTACTAGGCTCTTCTACCAGGTGAGTGGAGCAGTGGCAAGTGGGTTAAAAGTCTTGCTTCCTAAAATCACCTCTGCAAGTGTACTTTGTGCCATTTGCCCATCGGACAGGCTCCCTCTGTAGTGCCACTGCTCTCCTTCATGAGTAGTTATGTTCTTCCCTTGCCCTTCCATGCACACTCTTCATACCTCCTGGGCTTCTGTTTTACTTTCAAATGGATGAAGTTTTCAGTCTCTTAGCTACTGATTGGGTTTTATTTTCATTCAACTTCCCGTTCTGGTTCAGTTACTAAGGTCACATAAGTATTTACGTTACTTACTGTCTCAATGCCTGTTTGATGAGTTTGTAGAAATGATGATGATCCTGCACCAGTCCGGGTACCTAAAATCAGAGAATAGCCTGGTTGGAAAAGACCTCTGAGATCATCGAGTCCAACCATACCTGTCCACTACTAAACCGTATCTTCGAGCACTCCATCTAGCCATCGTTTAAACGCCTCCAGGGATGGAGACTCAACCACCTTCCTAGGCAGCCCATTCCAGTAAAGAAGTATTTCCTGACACCCAATCTGTACCTCTCCTGGCGAAACTTAAGGCCATTGCCTCTTGTTCCATCACAAGTTACCTGGGAGAAAAGACACACACCTGCCTTCCTACAGCCTCCTTTCAGGTAGTTTTAGATGGTGATAAGGTCTCCCCTCAGCCTCCTCTTCTCTAGACTAAATAACTCCAGTTCCCTCAGCCGCTCGTCATAAGGCTTGTTCTTCAGCCCCTTCACCAGCTTCGTTGCCCTTTTTTGGACATGCTCCAATGCCCCAATGTCCTTCTTGTAAAGAGGGGCCCAAAACTGGACACAGGATTCAAGGTGCAGCCTCACCGTGACTTCTCTGGTCCTGCTGGCCACACTGTTTCTGATACAGACCAGGATGCTGTTGGCCTTTTTGGCCACCTGGGCACACTGCTGGCTCATGTTCAGCCAGCTGTCAACCAACACCCCCAGGTCCTTTTCTGCCAGGTAATGCCACAGTTTCAGGAGCACCAAAAAAGGTTATTTTGAGTAAGAAGCTGATGCTGGTGCAAAGTTGTGGAAGAAGAAATAAAGTATTAAAAAGAGATACATAAGGATAGGAAACACCCAGTAATGCAAATGTTGGTGTGCATAGGTTAGTAATAACAGCATACAGGCGATTGATAGGAAATGAAAGAGAAGACTCAAGGTGGTAAGACTAGCCAGTGAAACTAATGAATGTGCATTTATAAATGTTCAAAACAAGAAAAAGCAGAGATCATACATAAAACTGATGTTTAAAGTAAATAGTAGGAGTGTTCAATCATATATAATAGAAACAAGGATGTTTAGAGCTATCCCATGTGATATTGCTAGAATAAACAGTATGTCATCTGTAGAAAAGTGGGATAAGGGGATTTGCTAAAATCAAACATTTCATGTCAGCTAACCCAGATAGCTTACACTGAGGAACTGCCTGCATCATTAATGTTTTTATTAAACAATTCTTGGAAAACTGAGGAAATGCCCAGATACAGAAAAACTGCAGATGATGTTCCTATACTTAAGAAGGGCAAAAGGACATCAACCTAGGGAATAAAACAATTAGCCTCAAATCAGCATCGAGTTCTGTTTTAATTACATTGAGCTTGAGGTGATGGGTAGATATCCCCAAGTAATGTCACTGAATGGTTAATGTAATACTCTAATTGTATGCTAATATCTAATTCATTTTTAATTATGTTAGTGAGCACATTTTCAGAGAAACCCATTGTCTTTTTAAACAAGCATGCCTCATTGATGAAGGCACCTTGTTATGTTTAGACCATTCCAAGAGTTAGAACTTGGAGCCTTATTGAGAATGAGAAGCGATCACTAGATATTTTGCAAGGGAACAGAAGGATCATGGGTTTTAGACTGGACAGCAAAAAGACAATAAGGTGGTTTTGGTTTGTTGGAGAAAATAATGGGTTTTTTTTCTCTGACAAGGTGCCTTATTATACACTAGGCATTTGACACTTAAATGTGATGCTTTGGTTTCTAAGGGATTTCTAGGTGGCTCCACTGCTTTTGAAAGTAGGACTTAAATTCAGCCTCGCAGGCGTGCCACTGCAGTCTCATAAATTGCCACCTAGCAACTAAGCTGCAGTATCTACTGGTGTATGCTTATAGCCTCTCAAAATCTGAGGTAAGGCAACTTAGCCTAGCCCTCTGTGAACAAGGTTTACACTAAATCATATTATCTTGTATTTGTCATGGGCTAACAGTTCTTATCAGGAAAATTACCCTGGCTCAGCTGCTGTGTGGTAACTGCTGTCATTTCATCATATGTCTGTCCTTGCTCTAAAGTTCCTTGTAGCTAAATTTATGGCATCTAACATCAAGCTTTCACATCTGTGAAAAGAGCTCGGTATCTCATAGGGCAATTCCTTCCACTTTAAGAAGTCTAAAGTAGGTCGCAGGAACTGGCTTCCTGCAGGTACCAGTTGCTCTTTGTTGGCTGTAGAAGGCACAAGCTCATTGTCTGAGGCCAGACTAATTCTCCTTGTCTTTGCTTTGGAGGATTTCCTGTCTTGGTTTTAAGTGTTTGCTTACAAAGCAATGAGCACAATTTGAATGCTTTGGTGGTGTAGGAAAAAGCAGTTGCTTCTTATGCTGACAGAAGTTGAGAGTTCTGTGTTTGGAAGTGCACTCAGTCCCTGGAAGAGGCAGCACCTTGTATTCCCCTCATCGGCTAACCACAGTTTCTGATTAAAGAGCAAATGGCCTTAATGGTTTTTCAAAGGAAATGTCAAACGTTGTTCTACAGCTCAAGTTATAAATCTATAACAGGAAAAATGGGGTGATCTGTGGGAATCATAAAACAATTTTGGAGGAACTGTAATGGAATTAGAAAAAGGAAAGTTAATGGAAACCGATGACGAGTGGAGTCCCTCAGGGGTTGGTATTGGGGCCAGTGCTGTTCAACATCTTTGTCAGTGACGTGGACAGTGGGATTGAGTGCACCCTCAGCAAGTTTGCTGATTGAAACCAAGCTGTGTGGTGCAGTTGACACGCTGGAGGGACGGGATGCCATCCAGAGGGACCTTGACAGGCTTGAGAGGTGGGCCTGTGCTAACATCATGAAGTTCAACAAGGGGGGTTGGAACTGGATGATCTTTAAGGTCCCTTCCAACCCAAACCATTCTATGATTCTATGACTTGTATGTCAGATGGAGTCTTACAAAAATATTTTAAAAGTGCTTAAGACACAAGCTTCATGAAGTATACATTTTCATTCTTCCAATAATACAACAAATGTTTCATTCACTCAACAATTTACATTATTTAAAATCTGTAATAAATAAAAGGAAGCAATAAAACTCAAACTTTGAGAAGGAAATTGCAGTAAGAACTAAGGGGAGGATGAAAACACAAAAGGATGAAACCAGAGCCCATATTTAGGGTGCGGGAGTAAAGAGGCAGTGCTTTCTATGAAAAATCAGTTTTACTTTCTTTGTGGTCATTAACATGAATTCTCCGGTGAAGCATATTTTATGTTTTGCTTAACAAAATCTGTGTGTCCCTAGAGCGTGTGACATTTAATGTTCTCTAAGTATCATAAACCTGAACTCTAACATCCTTCTACCATACAGTGGCTTTCTTACTTTGTACAATTGATCTAGCTATGATAAGAATCACTAATTTTGAACTGTATCTAGGTGAAGCATTCCTGCCTGAATTGGTTTACATATAAACTGTCAGCTGTAGATAATTTGCATTATAGTGCTGTTTAAACTGATGTTGGTTACTTTAAAAATTTTACTACAGATACTAGAAAATTTGGAACAAGGCTTAGCTGAAGATGGAAGTATGACTAACATTACACAGGAGAACAGACAAGGTAGGTATTCTTTAAACATTTTTTTCACAGGCACTGTGTTTTTATTGGTTGTCTAAATATGCCAGAAGTTTTCACAAGACTGTCCCAGAATTGTTAAAACAGTATTTTTGTAATCTCAGCTTACTTTCTGAAATTACACACTTTGTACTTCTATTTGCTGGAATTAATTTCACAATTTTACCCTTGATGTACTAAATATTTTTTTTTTCCTACTTAGAAGAAACAAAGAATATGACTGTTGTCCTCTAGTGATGAATATATAAGTGTATTGCTGTTGCATCTAGATGGTTGTTTCATCTTAAGCTTTGGCTGACTGGCTCCTCTTGGTCCTCATGTCTGAAACCCACTAGATTTCTTTAGATCAGCCTGTCATGGTACAAGGGCTGCACTGCTACATAGATATCTTGAGTCTTACCATAGCTGCATGGTACTTAGACTCCTGAAATACCTAAGTTACTTTTTAGAATAAAATTTAGTGGTTTTTTCCTGTTCCTTTTATCTTAGTTATTTAATTTAAATAGTACAGGATACAGGACTGCATACAGTAGGGTCATCAGGACAAATTAGTTGTCCAAGCATTTTTTTTAAGTGGAATTTATACTAATGATGTCATTTGAGTACACTTAAGAATTGGGCAAGAAGTGACATTTTAGGCATTGTTATGGATTAGATGAACCAGTGATGGTACCCTGCAAGTTAAAAACATTATACCAAGAAGACAAAAACCTTTCAGCTTCAGCTAACAGTCTAAGGAAATCTTACCAACTTATTTCTAGGATAACATTCACCTAGAGCCTATGGGAAGTACAAGCCTGCCTCTGAGATAGGAAGGGGCCAAACAGAGTTGTTAGCAGAGTTAAACTATTATAAACAATTCTTTAAAGCAATGTCTATATGGGAGGGTGCAGACCTGTCTGAACTCTCCTGCCTGGTCTTCAGCTGACTGGGTGTAAAGCAGCTTTAATGTGTTGTTGTACTTTACTTAATACGCCATCTAGATATGCCCTAAAAAAGCAGGCATACATGTGAGCAGCATATATCATAAAGGCATTTGCAAATATTTTCAAATGAGTACATTTACTACTCTTCTCAAAAGGGTTAGGAAAAAGAGAAATAATCTGATATTGAAGATTTATCCACAGCACTCCAGGACTTTCTGTTCTTTTCTCCTTGTATCTACTATTCCTCTTGCCTCTGTTCTCCTACCTACTTTTTCCTCTTATCCCCCTTCTACCTTCATTTGTGTCCTTTTTGTCCTCACATTTTTTTCCTTTTTACCCCTTTAAAAATTAAGACACTGATTCCCCTTTAAGGTATAAGGACTTTATCCTGTGTCATCATCCTGTGTTCTGTAGTCTGCCTTACTCCTGAATTTCTGGCTCCTTGCTTTTCCTCTCTGCTGCTGCTTTAGAGCTGAGATGAGCTCAGGAGGAGGCATAGTTACAAAAACAGCAGCTAGTAGTTACCAAGGGACAAGGCTGCTGAAAATTTGGAGAGGTCTTCCTGTGTCTACTGTGCAGCTGTCTGTAGGTTTAAGACTGCCAAAAAGCCCGTGGGACCTTTGCAGAGACTGTTGACTGCTGTTGTCTGTGGAGGTCAGCCAGGTCTGCTCCCTGTCTGCTTCTTCACTGCATTTGGAGCTCCAGGAGGCTGATAATGGGTTTGGTTTTTTTGATGTGAGCATAGCTGAAGCAAACCTTATTAACTGTATGTGAAAACAGCTTTAATTCATTACGGGGATTATGCTTACCATGTAATTTCCTTATTGCTGGTGTAAGAAGGTGCCACACCGATCAACTTGCCATGTACAGTCTCGAACAGAATACCTCATTTGCCAGTTTTTCGACAGGCAGAGAGGTTTAGCATTGCACCACTTGCCTGGTAATACATTCTGTACAATGTCAATTTTGCAGCTTCTCAGTGCACAGAGTTCCTATTGAAATGAGTGGCCATGTGGAGTATGGAGTCCTTGATAAATAACAAGGAAAAACAAATGCTTAGAGTGGAAGCATGGCTGCACAGACCCGCCGAGCTGGTTTCAGGCATTTCAGTAACATACAGCAGTCAGCTGCTGGATTTTGAATGTTGTTTACTTCTTTGCAGATTTTCTTTAACCCATTTCTGCCAGTGCTAAGAAGCTTCCTTCTGCAGGGCTAAGCAATTTTCAGATTAGGCTCCTGTTCCATTTATAGCACTGACTGAAGACACCTGGTCTGTCTGCTTTGCAGTCTTTTTTGAGGACCAGAGCTGGTGCTACTGGATTGTTAACAGGAAACCTAGATAGCTCCACTGCAGGAGTCAACATCTAATTTGTTGTCACCTAAATCCTAAAAAGCTGAATATGGTTACCAAACTATGAGAACATGGAAAAAGGAGAGATTAACATAAGTGAAATAATAAAGGAGGGTTATTTAGATGGCCAGGTTTTACAGATGCCCACAAGGAAGGAAAACCAGCAATGTATCATAAAATATTCGCTCATGGTTTGCATTGTCCTCTCCATTGATAGCAATAGGGATGTGTGGTCTAGTGAGAATTTCCAAAACAGAAGCTAGGAGTAGTGAATGATTTTAAGGTATGATAGATGAAACACGGGTGCAGTCTTTGGCCCCACATTATGCTCCTCTTTTGACAAAGATAATTTGGGAATATTCATTATTTTGTTTTGTTTTGCTGTTGGAGAGGGTTGAAGGGAGTTTTTCTTTTTAGGAAAGGGAGTAGACATTTCACCAAGCTCTCTTCTTGTTTGTAATGGCATTTATGTGTGCTGAAAGAATTACCCATGTGACCTACCATACTTTCATCAGAGTCTACATTATTGATACAAATAAGTGCTCTGAGTTATCACAATCTCATTGAAATACCTTCTTCTCCCTTTCCTCCCCCTTTCTTAAATCATTACAGTGACCTTGACAGCTGATTGATTGAGATACATTTATTTTCCAGATGTACTAAATTAATACTCCTAATGTTTATTTTTGAGGATTAGTGGAATATTTCTAGCACTGATCTATGGTGCTATAACACAAAAGAAAATAAGGATCTGCGTGAACCATTCTCTTAAAACATCAGGAGTCTGTCTGCATAGCAAGAGAGAGAAATCTGCTGCTGCAGTTTTTAATGCCTGCAAGCTCTAAGAGCATGGGGAAAGCAGACAGGCTTGGCAGATTTTTCCAGCATATCTCTTAAGCCAGAGGCAAGCACAAACAGTCCCAGACTCAAGACAGTTCTCACCCTGCATGTTTTGGCTCTGAAATTACATTTTAGCTATGTTTGAATTTTGAGTTTATCACATTTAATGCTGTAGATTACATGTTTTTAAACTGATGCTCATTATCACTTGATTCTTTTTATGCACCTTTTGTTCTGATATTGGAAAATGCATGGCTTCCTTTAGCGTTTAGTATTTGGCCTGAGCTCAAAGCTGAGCGGCTGTCTATTGCTCTGTGTTGTTGTATCATATACAGTCCCCAGAGCTGCTTGAGCAATTCCATCAGAGAGATGCTGAATTTTCTGTCTGATGGTGCAGCATGGCTGAGAATTAAAAATTCTAGGCTAAAACCCAGCGGTGTTAACGAGGGGGATCTTTCAAAATCGTAATTCATAGGACCAATAATTGATGGCAAGAAAGAACATCTAATTTATTTGTGCAAATTCACAAGCTGCTCTTATTTTGCAGCCTCTGTTCAGTTGTGGAGGTCACGTCTGGGCCAGGTGATGTACTCCATGGCAAACTGTCTGCTAATGATGAAGGTACGTGGGTGGCAACAACTGCAGAGGTACCGTATATTCCAGAATAGAATATCAGAGAAAGCGCAAGAGAAATACTGGTGCATAGATAAGGGAAGACTACCTGACTGTACATGGAGGTTTTGCTTAGTGAAGAATTAATTAGACTTAATAATGTCTTATTTAATAGATAACCATTTGCAATAATGTTCTTAAGAATGTATCCGTACTTATTTTTCCCCAAATCATCCTGGAGAATTTGTAATAACAATACAGAATTTGCATTTTTAAATTGAATTTTTCAAACACTTAACTAAATGCTGTAATTAAAAGCAGTTATGTGCTCTGCCTTTTTTAAACTGTGCACTACGAATGTTGCTCTATTTGTGAGCTTTAATAATACTGCAGCCTTTGTATATGATGAAGGTCTGGAACATCTAAATCATTGAATCAGAGAATGGTTAGGGTTGGAAGGGACCTTCTCATGTTGCAGCCCAGGATACGGTTATTGGCCTTCTGGGCTGCAAGTGCACATTGCCGGCTCATGTTGAGCTTCTCGTCCACCTTTGTCAACTTATCTCAGTTGTAAGCTGTCTTCTTTCAAGTTAAATCCTCACTAGTGGGGGGGGCGAGGGGGAAAGAGAAAGGAATACCAGCAAAAGTAACTGGCTTCCATTGTTGGGTTTTTTCCCCCCTCGTTTCCCCCTTACTTTTTAAGCAATCCTACTCCATTTGGTGCAACACCCTTAGCTTCTTCTTGGGTTCAGGAAGTAGAAATAAAACAACTTCTGATGTTTGCTGCATGGTCGGAGAAATAGGGATGTCGCCATTCTGAGCTTGCAACAAGCTGCTGTTATCCTGAGCTTAACTGTACATCACAAATCAATTAGCAGCAACAGCCTCAGAGCAGAGCTGTCAGCAGTATAATCTTCAGAGGCCAAGATTTGCACTCCTTGCTCCCTGCTCCTTGATTGCCCAAGGTCATGCCAAACCTGACCCTCTGATGTTTACTAAGCTACTTCCCAAATGGGGCTCCATTCTTAGTATTACAATACCTCAAATAGCATGCATTTTTTAGTTAAGATCCAGTTAACCAAATACTACTTTACATGAAATGGAATATCCTTTTTATGAGAATTAGGGAAAACAGAAATTTGTATTCATAATGATAATGCGATCAGAACATTTCTGTCTTGAATAGAAATAATTGTCCATTAAACCATGAGGTATTTTTAAGAATTTGTGTTTTGAAGTAGGTACTTGACATAGGTTCAATTTTTAAGAAACTTTTTCCAAAAGCAAGTGGGGAAAAGCAAGAATTGCCATCCCAAACAAAGTAGAATATATAAATAAGAAAATGATGGTAGTGTATTTTTTCAAGAAGTTCACTTTACTTTTGACTGTGAATTGTTTTTAACACTTTCGGTGTTTTTCTCCTCGTGTACACACAAATCCACGTGCATGCACAGTTCTCACCTTTCTTAAGATTTGGTCCTGTTCGTGCTGTTTTCTTCTAATAATAGAAATGTATTTGTGAATACCAATTATCACCTTTTTGGAAATGGTGCTTCAGAAATACTGCGGCTCAGATACTTCCTAAGACCAATTGTATTTAGGGCCTATCTCACAGCTTTTAAGTTAGAAATGTATGGTCCCACAGTAACTTCCAAATTACCCATAACTGCATGTTAATATACAGTTACTTCCATTTGAAATTTGCATTTCAGTACATTGGCTATGAAGTAGTTGTGAGTTCCTCAGTTTTCAGGAATATTGTTATATGGAGGAGTAGAGAGTTCTTAAGAAAGATTTCTCAAACATAGTGATGTTTCAGATAAAATCAGAGTAGTTCGTGAAGTTAATTTTTCGGCTTTCGTGACAGATCCTCTGTGAGAGAATTATGTTGGTCATTTATAAATTTAATAACTTCAGAGACCATCCTAACATGCATCAATGTTATAATCATCTCCTCCACCTTCTAGAGTATTCAGTATGAAACTATTTCTTAAAATAATTTTTAAACACTTTAGTTAATTCTCTCATGAACAATTATATTAATTGAACAGCTTCACGTATTTATATTTTTTGCTGTTGTGTAATGCACTTTAAAAATGACATTTCTTTTCACTAAAGTATTTCAAGTGAATATAATTTAAAAAAAAAAAACAAACAACTGATTTCATTTTCCAAGTCAGTGTCATCGTCATCTATTGCCATCTAGTGAACATTTACAATATTGCAATGTGGTCATATTTGATCCCCAAGTACTATTAGGTAAATGGAAGAGCTTGTGCTATTAGTAGATTAATAATAATAATTTATTAAAGTAAAACTCTGTGATATTGGTATAAAAAAAGAAAAACTCATTATCTTATTTTTACTAACCTCTTTCTTTGGCCAAAAAAACTTCAGTACTATTTAATAGGGAGTCATCTTGTCAGGATTGACTCTTGAAAGTAAAATAAATAAATAAATAAAAAGACAACTTTGATTGGCTGTTGGGCCTAGAACTGTTTAAATGTACTTCAATTATCCTCAACTCTAATTGGGTTTAGTTCACATCATCTCTCTTCTGCATTATTTATCTGACTCAAGGAATTCTGTTTATGTAGCACAATGATTTTTCTCTTTTTAAATATGGCCTCATTAGTTCCATAACTAAACATCGTATTAAATTATTGAGATGGAGGGGTGTTATTGTATTGGAGGTGTTGAGTGAGGTGCAAAGAGGAGATTCACCCAGACTTGCGCAGGAAGCCTGTAGTGGAACAGGAGATTAATCGCACATCTGGGACCATCTTTCCGAGGTACTGAATTCTGCCTGCTGTGTCCCTTTATCTGCGTGACCAACGATCCGGTTTGGTAGCAGTTTAAGGCAATCTTGCTATATGGTCTTTTCCTGTTCGTCCCCTTTTCTTTGTACAACCTTTCTTAAATGTATTCTAGCTTGCTTCTGTGCACCACTATAGACTTAACTGAGTGACAAAACAAAAGAAATGGTGGATCTCAGTTATATCAACTGAATCAGCTTTTGCTGTTTCATGTGAATAGGGGCAACTTAAGGGAGGAGGTGGAAATACAGCAGGAAGGGGAGACCACATAACATGTCTCATTGTAGACTTCCATTTACAAGAACTGTGGACTTAAGTCACTATGAAAGTGTACCCTGAATATATAGCAGCATGAGGGAATATTCATTTAAAATGCAACTGATGATGTGCGTTGCTTAATTTCAACAGTCTAATTGCAAAACATCTGTCATTTTACTAAATCACCATGGAAGTGTCTTGAAAACTTTCTAAGTTCTTTTCATCTGAGCTAAAATTGCTTTTGACATTATCTTACCAGACTTTTACCTCTCTGAGGAATAAACACTTAAGTACTTTCCATATATATTGTAAAGGCACACTAATTAAAGGCACATTTTTCACTTTTTAGAGTTTTTTTTCAGTGTTGTCTTAGCTTTTGTAGAACTTGCCCTTCATAAAAACAAAAGCATTAGAATTTATTTTAATTTGGGGCCTAATACAATTTAAACTGTACAAAGGAGGAGGTAACAGCTTGTACTAACCACACAAGGGACCGATGCCTAAGGACTTTGGTTCCTCTGTGATTGAAAGGAGAAAGACTGCCCAGATCATTGTGTCTTTTGCCTAACTGTGCTGCAGTACTGCTCTTTGGATTCATAACACTGTGAATTTCTGCTTTTATAACCCTTCCACAAGTGCACTAGATGGGGAGGAAGGATAAGTTATCCCTGCCCTTTCTTCCCAAAATATAGTATTTATGAACTGTACAGTTTGTATAATTAAAGCTGATTTTTAGTCTATGGTTTATTGAATCTACTCTCAACATTCTACACCTCATGGTCATTTATGCTCATTTCTAAATATCTCATAATTAATATTTTAAGTACTTAAAGTGGTGGTGAGGGCAACATGAAAATGTATAAAGCAGTGACCATGAAGGGAAATACAGTTATACTGCAGTGCATCAAAGGAAAAACAAACCCCACCTGCTATTTTTGTGCACGTAGGTCCAGTAACTTGGTAGAACTATTTTAGAGTGGTATATTTAATGTTAGTTCCAAATTTTCATAATAAAAGAGATTTTGATTATAAAACAGTAGGCCAACTCTCATTCATATCCTATACTGTGTAACTTCAGTGCTGCTTTTGGGATTTTTTATGAACATGTGGAAAATCTGAAAGCTTGCAATCTTTAGAAATAAAAGACCATGACAACACATCAGCCCAACCTTTAAGTCTTAAGATCACAAGCTGTAGTCGTTGGGTTTTTTTACTGGCAGTACCTAATACATCTTGCTCTTCACAACCACAACTTGTATCAACCAAGACTTTGCTCCTCTGGGAGGTTGTCTGCTCATCATTCTCTCCGACAATGTTTGTTGTACCGTGTCACATTAGCAAAGCTGAGAATGAAAACAAAGTTTTAATAAATGAGATCAAATCTCATCTACTTTTCAATATGCTTCTTTAGAAGGAACTGTCAGATAAAATGCTTTTATAACCTACCATGGAATAGTATCATTCTGTATCACATGTAGGATACTCTAGAAATCTACTACTGCTTCCATGATAGTGTGGGGGAAGAGTAAATGCATATTATACTCACTGTGGGATCCTGGAGTAACTACCAAATAAGGCTGTATTTAGAAGTGAGCCTGGATATCGTGATAATGTTTAATGGTTTCATCCTGGGGTCATCCTTGCCTGTGCTTAGGGGTGGCTTTGGACATACATGACTTAGTCTATTGTCATCTCCTGGAAAAAATGGGTCCCATTCCTGTGATAGGTACTGCAAGGCATGTGGTAGATAAGCACAGATGCTACATGCTGTGATGTTATATGGAAACAGGGTGCCATATCCACAAATACAGTGCATAGACTCTTAATGCTTCACCTCTGCTCTCACATTTTAGGAGGTGTGAATGTTTATGTAGTCTAGTTATAATGCATATAGTGATGTACAGTCACTTGATAGGGAATCCAAAAGGGGAGGAGGGTTTGTTTGCCTGACTAGGCCAAGTCCATGAAGCCCCAGCAGTGTGGGCCTCCAAGATGTTACTTGACTGCTTGTTCTACCCAGGCTGGCTACTGCCTACACTGGGGAGCCTGTGGTGTTATAATCGTGCAGACAGTGCCCCCTCGTGCAGCTGCTTCTGGCCAAGGCTTTTCTGCAGTCAAATCATGCTAAACTAGAAACTAAGCTGACAGAAGCACTTTTCTATCAGCTTAACTGCATGATCTCCAGGGAATTGTTTCTATGTCAGTTTGGGGATATGACTGTAAAGCCCCCACACCTCATGGGTGTGCTACACATCTTTGTTGTGTAGCCAAAACCTTAGAGTGTGCAGGAGACTGAGTGCTGGGTAAGGGGCAGCTTTAGACCACAGAATGGAAGACATTGAGCACAAAAGCTAGAATTCCATATTAAAAGTTATTTCTCCAAGAAGCACATTTTATGCTTAAAGGGATAAAATTCACAGTCATAGACAACCCTTCAGATTTTAGAAATGACACTCTTGCAGGTATTAATAGCTAAGACAAGCATGGCTGGGGTTCCTCTAAGGATCCAGTTCAGAGGGTTCTTCCCTATTCCAAGTTCTTTATGCCTACCTAACACAGTGAGACTCCATGCAATTAAGTCCTTTAGTGAGAGCTGATACAGTGAAAATTGAGTTTTTCCTAAGTCATAAATTTATGCAAAATTTTGCTCTGAACTCTTTCCACTGCTAATAATAAGCATGAACATGGCATGGCACACTAGAATTGGAATAAACTCTAAATGTTAATAATTAACTGTTCAGAATTAATTATTATACCCACAATATACAAGTTGTTTGCAAAAGAAAGGTCCTGCAGAGTGCCTCCTGGGCTGTTTAAGTCAGCCTCTACTGTTATAGGACATGTAATTTCTCTCATATACAGATCAGACTCCAGAGACTTCTCTTGATTTTTTTTTTTTTTTGTGTGTGAAACAATTAGTATGTTCTAAATGGTGATCTGGTACACAGGTCAAGTAGTTTTAAGAGTGACCTCAGGAAAAGACATTCATTACACCTGGGGCACATTGCCTCCTCAGACTAAGCAGAAGATGAAGAAAAAGTACCTTTACCAGTAGCTGTGATCACATTTGGAACAAGTTAAATATTTGAGTACTATAATTTGACCAAGAAAATGGTAGGGTAGAGAACATCCCAAGATGTCTTTGCAGTTTTGAGAGATTATTCTTTGATGTCTTTTGCTTCCAAACACCCACCACAAATTCTTCTGTTAAGTTGAAGGGCACAACTGTCAGTAATCACCAGAGAATCTTATGCCTTTGCAAATACCTGGCTTCTATAAGCAAATGCAGGCTTTCTCTGCCTCTGCTCAGGCTTGCTCCAAGAAGCCAAAGCTGAGGCTCCATGAATGTACCCACTACTTGTCTTCCAGTCAGTATAAAGCACATGCAGAGTTTCTTGTGTATGCCTGCCAAAGACCGTGTAGCCAGGCTCTAAAAATCATTTACTGCCTGGATCATTGAATTGCTGCAGTTTAACCATGAAACAGCTGGAATGCAGTAACCAGTCACATGGGCACTTCTTTCCTGTGGGAAATGGGACCATGATTTTGTTTAATCCTCTGTCACTGGTCATTATCTGGAGGGTACAGTTGCACTGCATCTTGAGCAGGCAGATCTCAGAGCTGCCACTATCCAGCACGGTCTTTGTGCAGGCGCATGTGCATGTGGGGTCACTTGCAAAGCTTCCTGGAGTTCAGAACCAGCTCACTCCTCACTTAGTTTTAGCCCAAATCAGTTTTCTGTTTAGATTACCTCCTCATCTTCCTTTTGCACGGTATGGTAGAAGAGAGCAAGGACCTGGGTGGAGGGATTGAAAAGGTTTGTTTCTCTTGGCAGTAGCACTAATTTGTCATCTGAAAACGTGCATGAATTGCAGCTTCTCACGCATATTTTTCATAACTTAACAGCATGTGCACAAGCAGTTCCCAAAGCTTCGGAACATAGTTTGTTAAACCATGTAAATTATACATATATTTGAAACATGTGACACTTCTCAAGTATGTATACCCCAGTCACACAGAAGGCTTTTGACTTTCATCCTAAATCATAATCTAAACTGAAGAGTAAATGTTCAGATTTTTTTGTTCTTGGCATTTAGCTACAAACAGAAATATGATCCAGTTGGGGGGGGGGGGGGGGGGAGGATAGGTGATCCCCTGTGTATGCAGTTCCAGTATAACTGAGAAAAGACCAATATAGTCAGCTACTGGTGGCTGCAGTGATAGAAATTCTGTCCCACTGACAAGTTCCAATTATTTTAGTTCTGTTTGAATACGTCTTTAAAAAGAAGGCAACATAAAGGCTGACAAATGCTGAGCTTAAACACGTGGTTGTGTTCTTTTCACCTTTTAGGACTATGTGCTTGCTGTAGATGCTTATCACACCGTCATCAAGTGTTACCCACAGCAAGAGCCTCAGCTGTTGAGTGGAATTGGAAGGATTTTCCTTCAGGTATGCATTTTATTCTAAATCTGCTAGGTAATATTGCTTTTGACAACTATGTAGTGAATAATTGTTGCATTTAAAACAATAGCTGCTTTTATCGGGCATCTATCAAATTGTAGAGGCAGTGGTCAAAACAAAAAAACCTTCTACCACGTGATACTAGATAAAGTTAGGAAATACAAGGCACCTATAATATTAAAGGTGCATGCATGTCCATTAGTGAACAAAGAACATGCTGTAGAAAATTATGCTAATAATTTAGTCAAAGAGCAACATTCTGCTTTCCCTAAAACTAATGGTAAAGCTCCCATTGACTTCAGTGAGCCAGAAATTAACTAAAAATCTCATTTCTCACTGCCTCAAACTGCATGCAGCTCTCAGTCACACTGTATAACTGCCATCTTCATCTAGAAAAAAATTGAGAGTTTCCTTCTTTTGTCAAGGTTATATCCCTGAGAAAGCAGGGGAGGGCACATGAAAAGAAAAAACAGGACTGCACAAGTGTAATAAATTTACATGTAGCTATGTACTTACCATAATAAGTAAAAAAAGGTGAAAGTAGAGTAGTACTTTTTTGTTTATCAGAAAATGATGCATCTAAATAGTATTTGTTTTAATTTTTAGTATCTCACAAGTTTTTTGCAGTTCTTTCTGATTTCTGATTACTGATATTTCAAACTTTTCCTTTTTTATCTTCTTGTTTTTATTATTTATTATAAATGCAATTTTGAGTTGTTGAGTATTTACAATCTTATTTGTGACGTTCATGTTATAAAATTATATTGAAATGGAATAATTTACTCTTGATAGATAATTAAATCATTAACATTGTTTGCTTGAAATCATAGAATGTCATTCAAACTCAGTTATGGATTTTTGGTTCTCAGC